CAACAACAACAACAACAACAACAACAACGACGACGACGACGACGACGACGAACCCAACTTCATTTGCGATTATCAAAAAATAACATGATTTCTCGACGGATTTGTTGTCGCTGCTCAAGCGACACTAAATAACTTCCCTAATCGAATTAAGTCAAGTTTTAATAGAATTTATTGAAATTTGTGCAGTCTGTCTTCTTTTGTTTCGTTCTCTTCTTAAAAATCGACATTGCAGCGGACAATTTCGTTGCTATTGTCATGCATACTAAATTTTGCGTTGTGCAAAATGCAAACAGATTGGCTTCAGTTGATCCAGTCGTGCACATCTGATTTGTATTTTGGTCATCATTTGCCACTGCCGTCGCATGTGTTATCAATTAGCCCATACAAATGATATGCGAAACAGATGAAATCTAGTTGAACGCAGAAGAATTATGGCTGACTGGTGGCTGCTTCTGGTGGTGGCGGCGGCGGCAAAGCCCGCCATAAATAACTTTGCTCTGTAACTAACGAGTTGGATAAAGTTTTTGTATTCATTCCCGGCAAGACAGCCGGAGATAAAGTGCCGAATGGGAAAACAAGAGCGCCAAAGGAAATGCAAAGACAAATGCGAACAGTGGCAGTTTTACGGCATCACAACACATTTCTGGTTGGCTGGAAAGAAAATGAAAAGGAAAATCAAATAACAAAACATCCAATTTTCGCGCATCATTTCGTGTGTATTATTGTGCACAATTTGTAATTTCAAAAGATTAATCGGTTTTTTCCTGGGCTTTGCTCCGGTTCATTTTTTTTGCATTCTCAATTTCCCACACATACATTCGAAGTGGCACTTTTCAAATATGCCTGTAGCTCACATGCACATCACTTTGTTCAATCTCTGGAAAAGTTTCGACATGGTCTCAGCTAGCGCAGCAGTTCCATCCACTGTTTTGGCAATCTCAATTTCTCATCGAGTGAGCATCCACCACATGCAATACGGAAGAAATGGAAAGTTTTACAGCAGACACACTTGAAATATATGCGAAGTGCAAAAATTTCACCATCCATTTGTGTCGATGGGGTTCAGTGCTTAGGATCACTCCCTCTTTCTCTCTCTCTCTCTCTCTCTCTCTCTCTCCCTTTTGAATATACGCCCCACTGTTTGTTTATGAGCGGAAAGAAAATCTGCGAATAACAACCATGTGATGAACGCGTTCCAAGAATTCGAGCATAAATGTGCAGCAGCAATTCATATTTGCCATCAGCAACTCAAGTTTAGAGATGAGGACAGAGACCAAGAAGTTCCTCAAACAATGCCATCGATAAATAAATGTGTGCCTCTTGAATGCACACCGAACTTTTGCAATTTTAGCAAAATTTAGATATGAAACAAAACACCAAGCGGCCGTACAAAATCGAACTGAATAATGGAGATTAAATCATGGGAATATCCAGTGAAAGCAATAAAAATTAGTATTCCAATTATAATTGGAAAATGGCATTCATTTATAAATTTTCTAAATATTAGGTGAAATTTTGGAAGCACAAAACTTTTCGGATTATAGCTCTTTTGAAGCATCAAAAAGCAATTGAAGCATCCATCAATCTACGATACACTGCACTATAAATTCAATAATATGGTCGAAATTAATTCGTTGAAAGATTATCAACTGAATGTTTGAAAAGTTTTTAATTGCTACATTAAATTCATATGTTGGCTAGCCATCATCAGTTTTAGAGAAATGTGCATCATTTAACATGGCCTGCGGTATTAGAAAATCTATGGCCAGACTTAATTTCTCGCCGATAAAGTCGTAAGGCAACATTAATGTACATATATATTGAAAATGCGATGCGAAACATTGTCGCGAATATGCCGCGTCGTTCATTTTGTGGCATTGGGTTCGGCCAGGAATCACGGTTAGTTCGCGAAGCATCGAATTATATTGAGAATTTATTTGTAAATTGCAAACATTCGATCAAAATGTTCGATTTTGAATCGATGCTTTTCCATTCAATTTCGTGTGTTGAACATGGAATGCATTAACGATTGCGGTTAAAACCATTAAAATACCCGCGGCATTCCCAAATCCCAGTCAACATAAAACCAACCGAACAAATTTCTAATCAATTACGAAACGCGGAACCAATTTTCAACCATTCGGAAAATGCTGTGGATTGCTCGCATTTGTAATGTGGCTCAAATTGCATGAGAATATTGCGCATTTCCAATGATGAACATTTTAGTTTGAGTGTTTTTTTCTAAAAGGAGAACGCCAATTCGAATCAATAACAACAACAAAAATTGGGCGTTTTAATAACTGACTGAATGCCACGCTATAACAATCAAGAAGACACAATGTTTATTCTGTTAAGAAAGAGCAAAATCTATGAAAAATGAATATTTTAATCGTGTAACCAATGAAATAGAACAAAAAACATCTCAGCTTTGCGGCATTGTTAAAAGAGTAAATTCCAATCTCACACAACTTATGGATCTTTTTTTCCTCTTTCCATTCCAATTATATGGAAGTTTTATGTTGATGAATAAGAAAAAAAACGGAATCTCATCTAAATTGCACTCTAAATGAGTGAATTTCTATATTTATTGCATTTGATTTAGATGTTTCTTATTATGCGCAGTGTTTTTATTGTTATTATTATTGACGTTCAGCGCATTTCCGAATATTATATTGAGTGGTATCATTGGATACCACAGTCGACAGTCGATTGTTTATCAATATTTCTGCGCTCATGATGCGATTGCGTAAAATGGTCGAAAAGTTTTGATGATTTTTTCGTTGGTGCGTCAGCTGAATGTACACTATATCGGCAGCAGAATGAACGGTAAATCGATTTTCAGATATGGCAGCGTTTCTTTTTGTGATTATCAAATCGCATAATAAATTGCAAATTCGACATGCACACCAAGTCACTTCCGTTGCGAACACACGCTGATTGAAACTAGGCTCGCTTTGATGACGAAGCGTACGCATGTGGAAAAGTGATGATGGATAAATGATGATTATTGTTTCATGAACTGGCGCAAAAAATGAAAATAAAAAAAAATAAACTTCAATCTGTCTAGAGATCAGCCGAACAAAGCATTAAAATCTAGGCCATCGATATATATATATATATATATACTTTGTGAACGCGGGAACGCGGATAGGCATTCGGATGCACGCAAAAATTCACAAGCTATCGAAACAGAGTTTATTGTAAGCGGAAATCAACATTTTTTCCTCCTTTTTGCCTCTTCTCTCGTTTGCTAACTCGCTGTAGTTGCCGAGCAATCGAACACATCGGCGCAATTTACATTTTGCTGTCGCTAGATGTTTCGTTGTTGTTGCTTGTTAGAGGCAACGATGCGACCGAAGCGAATAATCGGTGAAATATGTTGCTCATATGAAACCGATCCAACCAGCCAAATAATGACAATTGAGCACATTGACGATAGCGGAGAAAGAGCACGCGCGACATTGCAAGAGAGAAAGATGATATTAAAATATGTATAAATACGAAATTGTAGTCAGTTGTGCCCTTGAATCGTTTCTCTTATTTCTATATATTTTTTGGTTGTTGCTGTTTGTCATTTGTGATTCTTTTTGCCAGTCTCTATGGTTTTCATTTCGAGTGTTGAACTCAATAAAGCTACGGATAATAGCTTAAATATTTTTTTTTTATGGAATGTGTGCCCATATTTGAAGCGCATCGAAAGCATTTCGCATATTGTTTTCGCTCGATAATTTTTGATGTGATGTGAATTGGCAACTCTTTCTAATTCCATTTGACGATTTGCAATATTAGCTATTTGAGCACTGGGTTTGCACTCACCATCGTTCCCGGACACAATGAAATGGCAATTGCGATGCGAAGTGAGATGTGTTTGCATATGAAAGCGATTTAAAAAAAAGAATACTTACTCGTTTCGTTGGTATGTGCTTGACTTTTCCGCCTCGAATACCGCCCGTTCACTGTCCAATCTATTGACTGTCGTTGCTGTCGTCGCCGTCTTTGTTTGCCATATCGTCAGTGCAATTGCAGAGATAGCATAAGAAAAACAATTAAAATGCTTTTAAAATGAAAATTCCACTGGCAACAACAGCAATAAGAACAACGGACATGCAAACAAATTAAAAAGTAAATGGCAAAATGCATAAAGAAAATTGAAAACGGTCTGCTCTCGATGTGTGAAAGCACAACGCGTATATTATTTGGCATTAAAAATGGCAAAATCGTTTAACTTCAATATCACGAAAAGTTATCAAACTCGCTTCCTTCATTTGTTTTGCTCTCCATCTCTATCTATCGCACTCTCATTCTGCCGCGTTTTCGCTTGTATGTAATCGTGTTGACTCGCTGCAATCTCACCCCAATGCGAGCCTTTCATTAAAAACTTATATGCAATTTATCTTATCTGCATTATGGTCGTTTTCGTAGTGAATGCCATGTTTTTCGCATGTTTTCTCTCCTTTTCTATATGCGAGATTATGTTGTTTTTCGTCGAGTTTTTCTTTCCTTTCCCAATTCGCATTCGCACAGTGCAAATATAAACATTAAGAGAATAGTTTTTCGTAAACATTTGTAACAGATGCATAATGCGTTTGCGAACAAAGATGAATGATTTTGCATGAATATCCGAGCAAATAACAAACAAGACAGAGGGAGAGAACGATAGAGATAGGAATAGAAAAAGTGAGAATGAAATGGCAGAGAGTGATATAATTGCGAACAATTGCAAGTAGTCAAACTATTAAAATTTCAATTTGTTTTCGTTTTTGTGTGTGTATATGTGTCTTCAATTTCAATTTCGTTGCCGCACCATTTTCATGCCTGTTCCTTTTTCGCTATCAAGATTCGTTTTAATTAGTACATCAGCTGATTTTCTCTCCCAGTGGAATTCGACCATCGAAATATTCAAAAATATGGTTTTGCACTTTTGCTTAGCCGAGGCGAATCATAATCGCAACAGTGCAAAGGCATTAACCCGATTAAAACGATGGTTCCATATGGAACCGTTTTTAAATATGTTCTGTAAGAACACGTAAATTGCTTAATTTTTATTTCGTTTCTTGTCTAATGACTTGTGACAGAAAAAAGTTGAACCTATCATAAAATATATAATTTATATCATTTGGTTCGGTACAATATGAAAAAGGGCATTTACCATTTCGGAAAAAAAATTTAGGGGGTCAACACACGGAATGAATCGGAAAATTTTCAAACAACTCGATTATTATTTTATTTCGGAATGAAGTTTTGAAGCTAAGCATGTACAGATACATATCTTTTGATCTAAAAATTAACATTGAAAACAAAAAACATTTGCTTGGTTTTTCTTATGTTTGTATTGAAAAAATACGTCGTGACAAAATCAAGGTTTTCTACGGAAAATCTTATGAACTTTCAATCGGTCGCACCATAATTTAAAAGTATGCATGCTCAACTTTATCAAAGACTTAAAATTGAATCGATTTTTTTATATTCTGTTTGCATTTAAGCCAAATTTTTAGAATTTTGCAGGGAAAAATTGAAAAAAGATATCACGGCTTTGAATGGGTTGAAATAAGCATGGTCGATTCTGTGCAATGTTGCGAAAGGGGAGTAACCGAGAGAATCAAAGCTTGAAAATATGTTCTATGATACACATGTGCTGCTGAATAATAATTTTTCATTAATTATTTCTCAGAGTTGTAATAAGTCATAACGTATGGTATGTATTTCGTATTAGCCGTTATCTTGTTCCTATCCAAATCAACGCACATTCACCTGATATTTTATTCAAATTTATTTATGGAGCTGCTCCTGAACAGAGCTGCCTTTGGACCGCAAAGTTTTGTATTTTACACAACCCCTTGCTTTTCTGGTGTTTGTGCAAATAGTTGGCATCTTTGCAAACTTATCATAACACTGTGTTCAGGAATTAGTAACAAAGTGAAAATTAGCGGCGTGTAAAAGTGTTTGCTGATACTGACCATAGCTGCAGCGGCAGCGGCAGCGGCAACGGGGATGGCGGTCGTGAGATTTCTTTGTGGTGGTTTGGTTTTTGTGCGAAACTTTAGCATGTTCAAAGCCGAGGCTGGTAAGCCGTCAGTGTTTATGAAATTGCTTTGAAATGTTGCTGTCTGCTTTTCTGTTCCTCCTAAATCGTTTCACTTCTTGTGCACAATGTGTCCAGTGCAATGCATTGCCCTCCGTTTGTTCACAACCAACGTTCGTTGCTCAAGCAAATATTTATCTTTTTTCGATGGTGCTTTTTGAACGGATCGGCCGAGAGAGAGAGAGAGAGAGAGAGAGAGAGGGGGGGGGGGGGGGGGCGAAGAGAGAGAGAGAGGAAAAGAGAGAGAGAGAGCGAGAGCAAAATTTGATTTTAATGTTTTTCTATATGCTTATTTTCTGATGTGCCAGCCAGTTTTCTCTGATTAAACTGGCTTGGTATTGGTCGGTTGGCCTGCTCTCTCGTTGACGTAAAGTTTAATTAATTTGATGGCAGCTAAGAAGGAAAAGTGCGCGCAAAACTTTTCACATTCAAGTCACTTTTCTTTTCTGGATATTGTTTGATGATGTTCGTGTGGATTTCTTTTTTTCTTCTTCTCCTCTCATATTCTTCTTCGTTCGTTTGCTAAATGTCTACAGCCCTCGAACTATGCAAAGCATCGTGAATATTTTTAACGCGTTATGCCACTGTTGATCGTTAGCCTTTTTGCCAGCTACCAGCGAAATGTCCACTCGTTTCTTTATTCTGTTCTGTTCTATTTTCATTTCACTAGGGTGTTTTTGATATCAGTCAAATGAAAAGTGCCTATTTTTGATATAAAGAGCACCAAATTCTGCGTACATTGATGGCATTAACACAACACATCGATTGCTATTCACACTTCCCGAAACAAAAAACTGTTGTAAAGTCTGACTATCAATTGCTGTGTATGTGTTATTGTCATCAAACAGTGCAGGAAGTTTCCTCTTTAAACTAAACAGACACCCATTTAATGATATCAACCCCCCGTGCTCAATCTCTCAATGAGTGTATGGGAAATAACGCATATAGCACGTAAAGTCCACTAGACATGGAACGATCAACACATATATACGCTCTTCTGACTCATTTCAAGTTCTGGGTCACAAAGTCGACTCCAGCAGTATGTAATACGCTATTACAAAAATGTTGTTTGAAAAAATTCTATTCTAATTGACATTTCTTATTTCTTATTCTATCTGATTCGTTCAATTGTGAACATGAAGTGCAGCTGAATTCCGAAGAGGTGACAGTGGCCTGAAAAGAAAAAAAAACACAAAAATAAGTTATTAGTACGATATTTTCTCACTTTCATTCACTTTCATTCTAAATTTTAATTCCGAATCCAATTCCAATTCAATCACAATGACTTACCTTTGTATAAGATCAGCTTCGCAGCAGTGATGTCTCGATGCCAACAAGTCTTCAAAATGCGACGATCATGTGACTCTGCTGCATCCTCTTGCTCGGCAGGGTCCGCGTCCTCATCGATTGCTGCGCTTTGTTGCCAGTTTTTCTGGTATGAAATCACCTTAGACACAAAACGTTCAGCTTGATTTGGATCCTGTTCCACTGCTTCACGCATTCGTTGTCGATCCGCTATCAGCGTGCGCTTGCTCTTCTTCGACACGATTTTCGTTGGTAACTGCAAATTTGGTGGCCAATCATCGTTATCTGGCAGGCACCATTCGCATACTTTCATTCGATCACGTTGTGTTGCTATGTCGAACGGGGTGAAACATCTACCGCAAAGCTGTGATGTTCTGTTCTCGTTGACTTGTCGCACGACGGTGTTCGGAATCTTTCTGAAGCTCTCTGCCAACTTACGGTTGCCTGGACAACGAACATGTTTCTTGATTCGGATCGGAGAATTCGCCGGCATATCAACGGCTCCCATGTGAATGATGGATGGTTTGCGATTTGTCTGTTGAAAATACAAAGAACACATTATTCATTCAAAACAATCGCCCAACTAACGAAATATGCCAATATGAAAACATCTATTCTTACCAGTAAATTAGCAATCTTATCGGTTGCACGGTTTGATTGGATGTATTTGTCAAATTGCAGACGGGCGTATTTTTCTGTTGTATACGTCTCAATTCCTTTCTTCAGCATTGTCAAACGATGTGCGATGTAAGACCCCCAATTTTCACCTTTTGGCGATGGCATCCGTTGATAGCGTTCACGGTCATGCTGTTCTTCGGCCACAAATCGCCTTGTCCATCGCTTTGCCTTCCTATCCCGAACACCCTGCCTGGCCAGATAATGGTACCTCTTCGAGCTGACCGTGAAGTTGATCTGTGGGAAAATGATAAAAAATGAAATAATGCACTCAATCACACGATTTGAGACAACACAAACACAAATTGAAACTAAAATGCAACTCACCTCTTTGCCAGTTTTGATATTCCGTCTGACTGTCGCGTTCCAGGTACGCATGCCGGGATCAATCCCAATCTCGTATACGTACACACCATCACGATACCGTTTCCGCACGATTTCATCGTCTACTAAACGATCCAGGTGACTCTTCGGTACTTCGTACATAATGGATACCGCTTGACCATTCGAGGCAATGTAGGGCCGGAAACGTTTGTTTGATTTCAACAGGCGATGTATCTTTGGCATATCGAAAATCTCATCCCAACACTGCGTCATGGGGTCCTCCACAATTTCGTACTTGATTATTAGACCATGTAATCTGAATCGCATTTCGGACATCATTCGAATGAGAACGTCCGTCTCCATTTTCACGTGCTGTCGCATGAACTGATGAATCGGAATGACTTTGAGATTTTTGATCTTCGGAATTTCAATGCCATTTTCCTCAGCCCAAATGTGGAAATTGTCCACCTCCATTTGCATAGTCAACCACATGTTGATTGATTTGAACCATGTTCCTTCCGATGTTGTGTATATTGCGACATCATTATCTTCTGGCCCGCCAATTTCCGCAATCATATCGAGAAGCAATTGGCGCTTCTCCCACTTTACTTCCCAATGTCGGTCGGTTGTTTTGATGGGATCATACCGATCGATGGTCCATTGCACGGCACGCTTGATATCATCGTTGCGTAATGTGGGGCCAGTTGAAACAGCGTTAAATTGCCACGCACGCATTATGAGATATTGGTACAGGCGTCTTTCGGCATGCATCTCCAAATTGTTGCGCAAATTCGTGGTGTATTGCTTGTAGAGGTATTGCATCTGGTTTCCGAAGAAGCTATTACCCGGCCAACTGAATCGGTTTTCGGCCTCCATATTCTCCACGAAATCACGAAAATCTGGAACCATTTCTTCCTTCTCTTTGTTTTTTTGTAAAACTGCATAAAAACAATCCTTAATTTCCTTGTTGCCATCACCACTGAAGAAGTCCGCATTATTACTTTCGTTGGCACTCTTAACTTTGTACAGGAAGAGCAGCGAAGCTAACGCGCAGATTTTGGTGCATTCAATCGACTTTTGGGTGAACCAATCTTTCACTTGTTGATAATATTGTGGTCGAACGATAGCCTTCAATGTCATTTTTATCGCTAGAATGCCGATTTCTCCTTCAATACCCGTTTTGCTGACTATTTTCTTCTTTTTCCGCTGGTTACCGCGAAGTGGTGTACCCTTTCTCTTCGGCATTTTGGCTGAAATGAAATCAAAAAAAGAAGAAAAAAACAACAAAAAACAATTATAGAAAATATGAAAAAGATATATCCACTTGAAAATGCAATTCAGAAAAGAAAAAAACAATTGAAAACACCGAAGAAACAGAAAGAGAAATTGTAATTTGAAAAGTGTATCAAAGTCACGTCTTACATCAGCAGGCAATGCAACTCGTCTGACTGAATTCGATTCGCTTCGTTGTGTTTCGTTGCGGTCGTATGATGAAATTCACATCGACTCATCGATGTCACCGAGTCTGTCAAATGATCCGCTAATTTCGTTGTGTCAAAATGTTAGCAGTGCCACTTTGCAAATGTCCAGTTAGTTTTGTATCACAACGGTAACATGAACAAAATTCGCCGCAAACATGTCTTTGCTTTTTTAGCACACAAAATCGTCCCATTGTATACACTCACTGTCTTACGGTGGAAAAAGAACAAACGATTATCACTAGTTTTGCTGATCTTTCATTAAAAATGAATACGGAAACAGAAACCACAGTGGCTAAATCCATTTTTCGTGCAATCGACACAGTAGCAGCGTTAAAACTGTGAACTGCCATTGTTCCTTGCCAAAACAACACATTGAATTCATACTGTGGTCAACTGAATCACATCTGTGTTTTGGTGTTTCGCATGGAATTTTTTTTTCGTGAAACGGTTTATTGTATGTGTTTGCAACGAACCGGCGGCATCGTGTTCGTCCTAAATATAGAATGTACGCATGCAGCACAACGCTGGACTGGAAAAATAAACAAATAATATGTTCGTTCCGTTGAACATTTGTTTATTTCATGAAATGAAGCGTATATTAGGAATGAGTTGACTTCCTGTTCGATGATCTGAATTTAAAGAATTGATGTGAAACTAACATCGACGAAATGGAGATGAAACAGAGATGACTGAAGCGCACCGAGTGACCGAGCAACGGCCGCACGGACACTGAGTTTGCGTGCTTAAAACATGCTCAGTGCGATATTGCGCTGCAGCACAAACAAACCCACTCCATGAAGAGAGTATAAGCGCACCAACGGAGTGCGCTACACCGCACTCGTACACAACGAAGAAACAATAGAGAGGATATACAAAGAAAGAAACACAAAGAAAAGAATAAGACAATACACACTCAACTCTTTATATGTGTGTATAAACCATAATAGGCAACAGAGTTAGAGTGCGCACACATTTCTTAACAACAAAGTCAGAGTGCGCATATAAACTCATAACGAAGTGAGTGTAAACGCACAGAGCAGAAAACGACTCTCAGTTGAGTTGCTGAATACGCTACTGAGCGTGCGCTTAGTCATCTCTGAGATGAAAGTATTTGTTACACATATTTTTTGCTTCGGGAAGTGTGAATAGCAATCGATGTGTTGTGTTAATGTCATCAATGTACGCAGAATTCGGTGCTCTTTATATCAAAAATAGGCACTTTTCATTCGACTGATATCAAAAACACCCTACTGTTCACACCCAGTTATGTGTGATATAGCTTTGCTCACATGGTCAAATTGCCAGAGATTGTGTGAATATATGTCTCTCTGTGTGTATTATTTCGAACACTGTTTTGTTCATTTGCAATCACAATTGTCGAGCCCGCAAAACGGTTGTTTTTTTGCGTTTCGATAATTCAGCCACAATACATATATGGACCACCCTGTTCGACAATAGTTCATTGAATTGCGCAAATTTTTGTTTGACCTATTCCATATATACACAGGCCGGGAATACACTTGTCCCAAACCGATGTCTATGTGCGCCCAATAGTTTCGACTTGTGCATAAATTAAATTGCCTGGGAACAACGGAATTATGAACAAAGTCGGTCTATCTTCTCGCCTCTCTATTCGTTCGAACAAAACGAGAGCATTTTTTCAACTAATCAAAAATTCAGCAGCGCAATTTTGATTGAAAATCTTTTAACCACTTCCTGTTGATCGATTTTCTGTCTCTCTCTCTCCCTCTCTCTCTCTCTCTCTGTGTGTGTGTGTGTCTCGTTTTTGGCGTCTCCATATTCTCTCTCGCTGTGTGTAATAGTTCCATCAAAATTGTTTCGGTATCGTGCAATTTTAATGCCAACAGTTCAATATGTAGGTTCATTCAATATTCAAAAACAGTTGTAGCGATGCCATGTGATTACATTAACATCGAATTGTGTTGTGCCGCAACACAAGCTTTAACTTTGTGCTAACCCGAATTTTAAATGCAGATTGTTGTGATAAATCGCCTGTTCGTAGGCAATCCCATTCATGTACAGAAGCTTTTTTTTTGGTGTGTGTGTGTGTGTGTATATATATATGTGGCAAACAAATGACAATTGAATTACTTACCAGGTGCGAGGCGATTTAGCGTTATCCCAAAAACGGTCTTTAATTTATTTGCTTACTTGAACCTATAAAGTTTTCGTTAGCTTCTTAAAAAACCAATTTTCCGAAAAACCAAAGCGGATAACAAATGTTCATAAATTATTCAAAGAAAATGTAGCGGAAATATGAATCAAGCGGAACACGAAGCAGATTGACCGAACAAAGTTCGACTAAACTCTAACCTTTCACAAAGTAAACAATGTCAAACGAATCAAAATCACACAAAGCTAAATTAGCGGCAACGGTAAAGGTGTTTATTGACAAATGCGGTCGTTTTCACTTCACAACCGTTTCAGGTATTCGAGCGTGGTGTTATTGTCCGATGCGCGAATGGAAATGCGCACTGCTGCTATGCCTGTGTGTTGTGGCCATAAGTTAATAAGACTATTTTGCCACAAAAACACATGTTGTTCATTTGTATATTTGCCTATATATTCTGGCTAGCCGGATTTTCTGTTGTCATTTAGTCTAATTCCATTATTACTTGGATGGAACAATGTTGTTTGAAAAGCAAAAAAAAAAATAAAATTGTTAAATGCACTAATATGTTTAGTGCGGTCCCCACATTGCAATTATCTGATTTGTTTGGGGCCACCGTTAACGAATCATTTTCAAAAGTGCCACACCGACTCCCGATGGCGGACAGTGTATGTGTGGTAGAGAGAGAAACAAAGAGAAAGAGAGAACGAGAGTGAAAATAGCAGCGAAAAATCCTAAATGCCATTGTACGTGTGCAGGTCAACATTGGGTCTATGTTCATTGCACAGCGAGCAACGAAATCGAAAATGTGGAGTGGAAAAATATCCGAAAGCGACCGGCAAAGGCAACACGGCACAAGCGAACGAATAGCGCGACACGAACAAACCAACAGAAAAAAAGAAGAAGAAGGGAAAATCTCATCAAGAAAATGGAAAATGTGCATAGATGGTCATTCGGTTGATAGACGAAGGTAACAGGCGAGCAGCAAACGCTGGCTGAAAATAAAATTCGTTGTGAAAATACGGACGCACAGCGGCACAGTCGCCAATGTTGGGGGATCTATAGAGAGAGAGAGGGGGAGCGAAATGAAATAAGAAGAAAAAAAACGCAGCCGAAACGAACCGTTGGAAAAAATGCTTGCTCGAAATAAGATCCAAACGCATACCAATGCACGTGCAGAGAGTGAGTGAAAATGTCGTTGTTGTGACCGGGTGTGTATACATAATGATTACGATAAGCAATCGCTGCTCGCTTCTTCTTCCTCCCCTTCAAGTCACTGTGTCGACCAATCTCTTTCCGTTTCTTTTATTTTCTTCTTCATAATTTTTATTCGGCAACGTATTTGACTGTGTAAGCAATTTTCATTTGTCCTTATTCGTGTGTTTGTTAGTGTGTCCGATGTTGGAACAGGAGAGGCACATGCCGGATTGATGAGGGAAGGACAAGATGAAGATGACGGTTCAGTTGGCCCATGTATATGCTCTTTATTGTGCTAATTTCCATTCCAATCTATTGGATTAATAGAATTCGATTAAATGATTATTATTGACGGTTCAATTGAAGCAAAAACTTTATCGAGAATACTGTTCCATGCTCAGCTCTCGTTGAGACGATACCCTCTAATTGCGCATAATGACCCTCGAGGCTCGAGCATTTGTGATCAATGAACATTGTTCATCGTCAACAAGTCCACCAATTTACTTGAGTCGCAAATTAGGAAAATCAATTGAATGAAATAAATATGTCGATGGTTGGGTATTTTTTTGTTTTCTTCTTCTGTGCCTGTATTATTTTCGTGTTATGTGCGTGTGTCTATTTGTGTATTTTCCATTCTCTTATCTATTAAATGCGGAAAAAAGAAGCACGGAAAATCAAGCGTTGAGTTTTCCAATTTTTGCTGACAGCAGCAGCGAATTGTTTGGTTTCTGTCTGTACGTTCGATACGACCCATTAACATACAAACACGATAAAACCCATAGAAATGCTTTCAAGTATTCGCAAAGGCTCGAATTTCTGTGAGCATAAAATGCGGAAAAATCGATACGTTCGAGAGGTTTTCCGCTTTGGTTCAGCGCAGTATGTGTGTGTGTTTGTTTGTTTTTTTTTCTTCTACCAGCCGATTCTTCGCCCACTTTATGCTTCTCACCTTTAACACAGAATCAATTTGGCCGGAATTTAGACGAAACGTTTTCGTCACCGCATCTAATTGGCATACAGATAGAAAGAGAATGACAGAGAATGAGACGAAGGAATAGATGAATGGATCAGATGCCGAAAGATGATATCGTTGAGACCGCAAATAATCGGCATTGATTGCTCGCTTTTTGGTTATCTGGTCAATTTGATGTGTGCCAGACGAAAATTGTGGACATTATGTGGAAATTGCGAATGGAAATGTTAGCCTTGATTACCTTTACCTTCCAATCATCACTATCCTCTCTACAGCATGTGTCGTCGTCTAATTGATTTTAATTAGCATTTAACCCCATATCCAGTGTGGTGTGCCTGTAAAACTATCTCCCTCTCTCCCTCTGTGTGTAAAATGCAGGAAAACAAAATGAAACAACTGAAGACAATTTGCGTTCGTTTTCGCATTTATAATTTATTTGAGTTTTGTGGACATACTTGTTCGAATGTGTTTTTGTACAGTGTTTGAGCGGGCCCTAAACATGATTACAGAATGTGCTTATACAATGTTTTTTGTTTGTTTGTTTGTTCGTTTTTTGCTTAAACGTTTACTTTTTTTCTCTGATGTTGTTGGTAAATTTAAATGTATGTATGTAGTTCATTAACATTTTGTCGTTTAGCTTAAATGCTTACGTGTTGATGGTAATTCGTAAATTAATTTATAACTGTCCAAAACCTTCTATTCCGTCCATGAATTCAGGATGGAAATGCCGGAATTGTGTTGAATAAAATGTGTTGATGTTGAAAATTTGTGATTCGGCTGGATTGTATATCGGTGATATTCTGTCCAAATGAATATATGCTCAAACGAAACATAAATTTTGAATGCGATAGAAAGTTTTGTGTGATTTTCCTGGAAATCGCATGTGTATTTTTTTTTGTTTGGTTATTTGTTTAAATTTGGAAATTTGACTTTGCGCCAATGCTATCGACGATGTTCTATTTCTGTTCGTATTTGTGTGTGTATTTGTCGTCGGTAGCATCTTTTGGTATTGATGGTTTCTTTCTTTCTCGTTTTGGTCAAATTTTCTGACGCAGCAGAAAATAATGCATGATTTTTTTTTCGTTGGTATGTTACTGCCGTGGCAGTCCCGTTCGATGTCATGTGAATATTGGAAGCGGGGCGCAATTTTCATTTCCGACTTCAACATCAATTTGAATCAAAGTTCATCAAGATTTAATGAAAAGCGCTTGCATGGCATACTAAATCATGTTTGCCTAATGACCGGCTCTAGAAAAAAGTTGGAGAGATTGAGAGCGATTTCATTGAATTACATTGCTACATTTTTTTTTTCTCATGGAGCACATTTTTTTCTCATCTTTCTCTCTCGACATGATCGATTTTAGTTGGTTGATGTTTTGTGTGTCTTCTTCTTTGTTTCGTTTCTCTTTGACATCATCTTTCAGAAACTTCGATACGTTCAGTTTCCGTTAGATGTTGACTTTGTCTCTTTCCATCTGTTCGCCGAAACAAATGGATGGTTCGATGAAGGGATGTTTTTTTTCACTTTATTCCATTTTAATTTTCATCTCATTTTCTTCCTGTTTTTGCGGTTTACATGATTTTTTCTTCTTCTGCGAGTTGATGCCGCATTGTTGTTGTTCGCTCATGATTCACAAATGTAATTCAAACCCGTTTATTTTAATTCGTTGTTTTGCGAAGAAATGTGAATTTCCAATGAAATGGTTAACAAAGGCACTTGGGTGTGTCGGTTCATTGTGTTGGAAATTGTGTCGAGACATTGTGTGGCTGGATTGTAAACGTGCAGCACAATGATAATTTCGTTGTAGTTGTTGTTGTTGTTTTTTTCGTTATTCATCCCTTTGGTTCGAGTTGTGTGTGTGTAACTTCCCTTTTTTTTACTTTTTCGATGTTTTTGGCGGATGTTTTTTTTTCTTATTTTATTGATGCTTAAGCATTTATTTATTTGTTTGCTTGAAAAAATGCGTGGAAATCAATTTGATGGTGTTTGAACGCAACAATATTGCCACACGAAACGGCGCAAAATATTCTAGATGTGGTCAGTTTGGATGTTTAAATTGCTTTCGTGTCGCGTGGCCATATTTTGCATCGTTGTCTTCGATCCGTGACGTTGGATGGTACTTTTTTTTGTCATCGAATCGCACGACTGAATGTTGCATTGAATGCATTTGGTCGAATGCTTCAATCGCACAACATTGCCAGTCGCGCTTTCAAAACTTAACAATGTGTAACAATTTTTTTTTTTAATTCAACAAATAACAATGCATTTTCAATTTTAACAAAAACAAAAACAAAAACAGAAGAAAAACAACTTAACGACAACAATAAAAACAAAATTTGTTCAACGAAAATCTCCGTTTGTGCCTTTCTTCAGAGCCATAATCGAACATGCAAATTTTTAACATTATAAACAGAAAATCAGAAGAAAATAGAATTTTGCTTCGGGAAATGGTAATTCTCTTGTTTGAACAAAACGAGTCGAACTGATACAAAATAATAATGATAAACATAAAATTATTAAAGTTAATTTACAAAATGATAATGCCAATTTGTCGCGAAACGGATAGAATGTCAAAACGAAAAAAAGAAAATAAAATGATAATGAAATGAATGAGAAAAATAATGGAAGTAAATGACATAAAAGAAACTTTCCAAATGATACAGAGAGAACAGAAAATATGGTCGATAATTGGTTTCGTTGCTTTGAAATGCATATCATGAATAATTTGTTTAAAAAAAAACGGAAGATTTTCATGTACAACCTTACTAAACTAAATAACAATGTTTCGTTTGGCAGAGCTAGCTCTGCCACCTTACAGACTAGTCAACATTGTATTGTGCAACAACAAGATAACACTTACAAAAACTAAATAACAATTATTGGTTGCGTCTCTCTTTCTCTCTTCGAATTTCAAATTATTCGAAATTTCAATGTGGTAAGCGATTGTGCAACACTTTCTTGTTTTTTTCTTCCTCTTTTTTATGGAGTACTTTTTTTTCGAACGCAGTTTTATTCCAGTATCCTTAATGGTTATTCGATGTTGGACTTAGAATTTTGCATTTGAATTTGATTTCATCGTTTTTGGGTTATTTCTAGCCGAAATGTTATGTTTTTTTTCTTCACTTTGTTCAAAACTTTGTACATAATTGGTTTTTGTTAATATATATACAATGTTTGGGGTTAGTGCTTATGCAATAATTTTTTGGTGTTTTTACTTTTTGTTTTTCATTCAAGCCAGTTAGATTGATAAATGCCAATTATTTCCAAAATGAATGGATCGAATCATTGAATAAAGCTATTGTTTAAACGTATGCATCCGAATTTCTAGCGCTTGCAACACAACGGTTGTATCATTTCAATCGTTTAAATCTCTTTTGTGGGCTTTTGTCGTTGTTTATGCACGTTTCGGCACGTTTTGCATCGAGACTGCGAAATAATTTTAATTTTTGTTTTGAATTCTTACATTGGTTGTATATGTGGCATCGAATGAATCTCTTTTTTTACCAATTGTTTACTGTACACGGAACTTTTTGAATGAGCATTTTTGCTATCCTAAACCGAAGAATAAAATGAGTCGAACCAAATGAGCTTTATTTTTCCTCATGATATCAAACATATGCGTAATGGCTTTGTTTACACACAATTCGATGTCAGTAATTTGGTTGTTGTTTGGTTTTCCAGTGCAATGATTCTGAATGTTCTGTAGCAAAATATGAATTTCGTTTTTTTCTTCTTCGAAAACAAAATATCATTTCTCAAGAGGATCTCACGCGATTGACTTAAGGCTAATATAGAGCTAAAGAATATTTTAATGAAATTCAATATGAGTAAAATGACATAAACCTAGGTAAATGTGAATTAAAGCTTAAAATTTGTAGATATAGATAGAAAAACGCACTCACGCACACTCAAACTAACAAGAATTATATCAAACGAAAAAACAGCAGTATATCAAAGATAGAAAGAAATGAAATCAAAGTGAAGAAGAGCTTAACATTAATTATCAAGATAAATGAAAATTTTGAAGCAAAAGATGGAAAGAAACTATGAAGTACTATTAACTCATTAAAACTCACTAACGATTCCAGAAACCAATTCAAGTCAAGACATTATAAGACGCACGCATAACAAACAACCAATGCACAAGCATACGAAAGTGCTTGTTTTGCTTACACACTGCATAAGTCAATTGAAATGAGCTCTGAATATGGTGGATATTCGTTGTGCTTTTCAAACACTGGTAAAAGTTTATCGCTAATTTTGAATCGTCAACATTTCCATCCGAAGAACGAGCGTTATGTGTTGGATTACATGGAGATGTATGGTATTTAAACCAAATGTGAATCTCTTTGAATTTTTGTTAACTGATTTTTTGATTTTTTTTTTTCAATTTTTTTCTTTTTTTTCCAAACAAATGCTCTGGTGAATGAACGTTGGTGGTGAATGTTCATTATAGAAACAGAGCTCAACAGAAGAAACATCAAACTTAACACAATTATCAATATGGAAAAACTTAAACAACATTTCAACAAAACAAAACAAAACAGCGTTAACAATTGAAATCGATGTAATTACAACGGAATGAGCCATACTATGATGATCTCCAGACAGATTCAACTCGTCAACAGTGAACATTTCGAGCAAATCGTCCTGGAAACACAATTGCAAAAATTTTCCATGTCACTTTTTTTCTCCATGTGCAACAAAAACGAAACGAGGAAAACAGTAACAGAAAGATTGGAACAGAAGAGGAAGAAAAACAAAAACAAAACAGAAAAAATAACACAAAATCAACGAATAACAAGCAAATGAAGTCTGTCGTAATATGAACGGCATGTAATTCGGGCTAGGCATTCCCGATCAAATTTCAGGTGTGTGTATTTCTCGAACAATTAACAATAAATCCAACACCGAAACCGAGTACATAGCAGTGCCATAGCAAACTCCTCAAGGAGAGCTATGCCAATATTACGAAAAAGCTCATTTTTCATTGGATTCAAACAAAACAAAACAAAACAAAACAAAAACGAAATCAATAACGAAAACAATGAAATTAAACAGAAAACAATTTAAACCGAAACAAACGTAAACTTAATAAGGAACCGAAATTACAACTTAAGAAAAACTTGGGATTTGTTTTGGAAAATGGGAAAATTTTGAATACTTAAGAAAGAAAAAATTTAGATGTTGTTTTGCCCTGATTTAAACGTTATTCGTCTAATTGAGTCAGGAAACAAGAAATTTTTTGAGAATATTTTAGATTTAGAGAAACAGCCATTTTTGAATGCCTAATTCTAGATCAGAAACCTTAATTTAGGATATTTATGGGAGTTTTGTTTTTGGTTCGATACGGAAAGAAAAGAAAAAAATATTAAGAATTGAATTTGAATTGAAGGGAAAAAAAACGTAAGCCAAAACTAAAAGTAGAAAATTAATTATCGATAGTAATTTAGTAATTGAGTGTCAATTAAATGGCTGGCTCAATTATTCGTTTAACTTAATGAAAAACATAAACGATAAACGGCAACAAAATAACAGAAAACGAAAATGATTCATAACAAAATTTGGATTTGGAATTTTTTTGCAATTGTCTTTTCTGGCGATGGGGCCAACAGGATAACATCATAATAAAGGTTGATGAATTTAACAACAAACAAAACAAAAGTTAACAATTTCAACAATTGGATTTTAACAATGAACTTCAACAAAAACCGAAACGATGCAATAACAATAACGAGCAGAAAACAAAACAAGAAAATTTAACAGATTCGCGTACGCAATTGGATACTCTCGATTTCAATTTTAACTGCATATTCAATAACATTAACAAACATGCAAAACAGAGAATTTTTCAAACAAAGAACAATCAACAACATGGGGTAACATTGTAACGAGTAACAATAAAATTCGATAACAGATTGATTCAACAATGACAACAACTTAACAACTTGAATGATTAACAATAACAACTGACCATCATTGATTTCCAAATATTTACGTGCTGGCATTTGGTATGCACGCTGAATGTGTGTGTGTGTTTGTTCTTTTTTCGATCGTGTTCACACGATTTTTTCTTTTTTTCAAGCCAAACATTTTTCATTATTGATTGTTGTATATTGGTTTGGTTTGGTTAGTGTGAATCATGCTATTTTCCAAATTTATTACGTATTGTTATTTAACATGCACTCTATTTCTCCCTTTCTCTCTCTCTCTCTCTCTCTCTCTCTCTCTCTCTCGCTCGTTTTCACGCTCATCAATCCCTATTCATTTTGCTGTTCACTCAAAGCCTATTCCATGAAGGAAGAAAAACCCTAAATCTAAGCACACGAAAAAAAAACATTAAACTAGAAGGGCAAAAATGAAGAAAACTGCTTAAAACTAGACAGAAATTTAAAAAGAAGTATTAATAGAAATTAGGGTTAATAGAGTAAATGTGAGTGGATCCTTTTTGAAATGAATGCCAAAGTAAAAACAAAATGATAATTTAAAATTCTCATCTCATTCTGATTCTTTGATCGTTTGGATAGAAAAATGCTCATTTTTGGTATATCCAGATAATGGTGGTGGCGGTGTATGCAAAGTCAATTTCAATTTCTTCTTTTTTTCTTGTGATTTGTTTTTTATTTTTAAACAAAAACACAATTTTGGCAAATTCATTGATATATTTTTTTTTCGTTCGGCAGTTCGAGGATGCATTGCGTGTGCCAAAAGAGGCGGCAACAACAACAACAACAACAACAAAAAAGATGGAAAAAAAGTAATCGAGAACAAAAAAAAGCGATGAATTTAACATTTTGAATGAATCGAAATAAAAAGCCGAAAAGAAAAAAATGAACGAAAAACGAGTGCAAACAATTTACTGATTGAAAATGAAAATTAAGAGTTGAAATAACAAACCGTGTTCGTGAGCAAGCGTCTAAATTAATGCGGATGTGTGTGTGTGTGTGTGTGCGTGCGTTGTGCGAGGTGTTGTGATTGTTAGAAGTTGTGACTTGATTTTTGTGTTTTGGATGTCGCTTTTTTTATTTTAAAAATCAAAATGAACTCGAAAGTTTTCAGTGGGCCTTTTCTCTTCCTCTGTTTTCATCCTGATGGTGTTTTTGATGTTTTGCAGAACAGTGGTGCATTTTCCAAAGAAAAAATATATGAATATCAACATTTGCACAGAACATGGCTAAATGTGGATCTGAAACTCTATCTTTCTTTCTCTCTCTCTCGCTCTCTCTCTCTCTCTCTCTCTCTCTCTCTCTCTCTCTCTCTCTGTGTATGTTCGTCTCCTGTTGCCTCTCTGCCGCCAAATTGAAGCTGCTATCGCTATTTTGTGTGTCTGTGTGTGTGTTTGTTGGTTCTTTTTTTTTCTTCATCTGTTTGGTGTTATTATTTGTTCGAATGCTTTCGCAAAGTTTTCACTCTGTCGTGATTGTTCGCAATGTGGAATGCAAAGGAAAGCCGGAAAAAATAGTACGCCGTTGCGGTTGTGGCATGACGTGGTGAGTGTGTGATGTGGCTGGCTGGTTGTATGCGAGCGCGCCGCAATTTAGCTTTGCGAAAAAATGCTTTGAACCGGATGCACAAATGCATTTGCATTTGATTTGAACGTTTGCTTAAGCAAAGCGCACAATTGTACTCGACTGTTTTGAAAAGCTGTGATGCGAGTGTTAAATTGTGTTTTATGGAGAAAAAATCACAAACAGTTTCGTTGCCGTCGTCGTCATCGCCGTCGACTCGATGTTCTTCGTCTCGTGTTAACACCGCCGTCGTCGTCGTCATCATCATGATTGGCGGCACAATATCAGCAACATGCTTATTTCACCGTTTCGCGCTTACTTTGTTCGCAAGTTTATTAATTCTATTTGTTGTTGTGGTTGATGATTGTGTTGGTTCTAGTTTGCTTTGGCTTTAGTTGCTGATCTGTGCCGCTTTGTGTTCATGCTATTTCTCACTCTCACTCTCTCGCTTCCTTTTGCTGTATTCAAATGCATTTGCACATTCTCGTACAAATCCATACCATTGGGAACTGCGATCGCGAAGAGGAGACAAACGTAACGCGTATGCTTATCGGCATCGGATAAAAGAGCATAAAAAAATTCTATTCGTCATTTTGTCTAGCGTATTTTTTGACAGTGTCGCACTGCGGGTAATCATAACAAACGGAATTCCATTCAATGTGCGCTTTCTTTCGGATGGTCTCATTTGTTTGTTTGTTTTTTGTGTCTTCTTCGGAGTTTCGGTTAGATTTGTGGTATCGTATCTTTTGAACAATGTGTTCAATAGTGTGATTTTTTTTTTTGGCGTAAGATTTTGATTTTCATTGGATGCTTGCGAATGTCGATTTTTATGCTCTGTTTTTCTTTTGTCGGTTGCCTCTTCAAATTGGTGGTTGGTGCAAATGATGACATTACATTTGAACGAGTTGGTTGCTGATGCTGTCTTCGAGAGGGGGGGGGAGGAAAGTGTATTTTTCTTTGTTTTCCACTCTCAGCAGAAAAAAAGACGTATTCGTCACGTTTTATGTTTAGATGGATGGCCGGATTCGTGTGTGATTTGATCGGTGTATTGATGACTGACTACAAAGACGGTTTCGATGATAGATTGCGCTTTGATGCCATCTCAGTAGATTGGTAATTCGAATTTCGTATGCCGATGTATCTAACGAATTCACACGCGACAATGCTGTAACCGCACGCATATCCGTATCTTACAATCATCGTTCGGACTGTGTGGTGTTGATTGCCCAGGATTGATGTGAACTGAAGGATTCCAGTGTGTGTGTGTGTGTGTGTGTCTGTTTTTTTTCTTCTCTTTGGTTGTTTGTTTGTGGGCATTTTTTGATTTATATTCTCAGTTGCTGCTATTGGCTGTCGAAAAGCGGAATCATTGAACTGTTTTTTTTCTCTCCTGATTTATTGAGCATTTGCTGCTAGTTTCGCCGAATGTGATAATCTTCATCATTTTTTTTCTGTTTGTTCCAATTGAGCCTTCAAAGTCAAAATGTATCCGCGTTGGTTCACATAGAAATCACACGAAATCCCCATACGAGACTTAAATTTTGTTTGATCGTTTCATTTTTGATTCTATTTCATCACGTTTATCTATCTAGATTCCGTTTTGTTTGCCGAAAATGTCTTTCTTTTCGAATGGAACGGACATTTTTTAAAGATGTTTGCATTCTCACGTTGGCGCAAATGTGAATAGAAAAAGAAAACAGACCCGCCGTAATTTTTGCTCTTAAGTTATCATCAGTCGAAGCAGATGCAATAATGACTACATCTTTTTGTGAGTAACAATGATGATTTCATTTCTACGCCGAATTGATATCGTTTGCAGTGATTTGATCTGAAGATCCTAACTTCAACTTTCCGTCGAAAAGGACTTGTGTTGTGATGTTTACAAGTCATCAACTTCATGATGTTTGATAATGTGTTTTTTTAAATTTTCAATTTTGCGAATGGTGTCGTTTTTCCGTTGATTCGTCTGTAATTAAATAGAAACAAAAAAAAAGTTGTTAGCTTAGATACCAAATTGAACGATAGAGTTGTGAGTTTCATTCCATATATGAATAAACATATAAAGCGAATGAATGTGATTGGTATAAATTGGCTTTAATCTCTCTATCTTTGGCCATTTATTATTGTGAAATTAATTGTTCGACGTTTGAAATGTGGTGGCCACGTGCTGAATGCCTGCGATATGCCAATGGCAACGCTGACGAATTTTTTTTCTCTCTCTCTCTCTCTCGCTCTCTGGTTTAATCGGACTAATTTGCTAAAGGCCCCATATTTTCGCAATAAATTATGAACGATTTATCAGTTGAAATGCACTCCCGGACTCTTTTTCATCGTGTACTTTTATTCGTTGCGCATGGACTTCAAAGCGAAAAACTGGCACAAAATCGTATAATTCACTAATCTAACAACGCGAAACCAAATCGATTTCTCTCCCTCGTGAATCTCTCTTTCTCTCTACCATTCTGCCATTCTAGTTATGTAGCGAAAAACGAAATTTGTTATTTCGAAATCGTTTCATGTCGAATGATTGCATTTTTGTGATAGAAACGGGATTTTGGTTGTTGGATGACCATTCGAACCGTTTCAAATCCGATTCGAATTGGCTATAGTAATTTTGGGATCGCATCGTAATGCATATACATATGTGACCAACGAGAAAAAAAGCCACATGAATGGGATAGGGAAGGTCATCAGCCTGTCATCACTTTTTGATAAAATGTGTATGTCTGTGTATATTGCACAGTTTTTTTTTTCTTCCTTTTGCGCTTGAACATTTATCACATATTTTCTGGATTGAAGGTGGCGTTTCGTTTGTGTTTTCATTGAAAAAGCGCAAACAGTTGATGTAGCTTACCATTAAAGAGTGTGACATCGGCATGTGCATGCGGAAATTGCGAGTGAATAAAAAAGCGTGGTCGCTTCGAAAAGCGCTCTCGAATATAGTGAGTGAAATGATCATGAAGCAAACGGTATTTAGAGTGAGGAATCGAACGAATGAACGGAGGAAAAAAACCATATCAAAGTGCGCTAAAGGCTATTGGAAAAGCTATTATATCGTATACATGCATTCTCTATGCTATGTAGTGTGTACACATTGCGAATCTGAGCGTTTGTTGAGCTTTATTGAAACAAATAAAAATGAATGCTCTTTAAAACAAAAATAGAAGAAAAAAAAGAACAGGAACGGCTCAGAGCCCTCATGCCCAATGAGAGTAAAAAAATGCGCTTTGGTTTCATCGATTTCTTGCGTTCGTTTGTTTGTGCTTGCCCCGGAACATGTTTATGTGTGCACAAAATGCTCCACTCGTACTTCGAATGATATGCATTAATAGGATTTGCCGGCACAAAAATAGTTTCTGGTCAAATGCAATGAACGAAACCAGAAAACGAGTCAGGGTTTCGATGATGCGGCAACAGCAGCAGTAGCAGTTCGAACGTATTTTTATGAACATTTTGCTTGAAAAATTCCATGAGAGTGGCGGATGGAATTACGACAATTTTTTTTTATGTAGTATATAAAATGGGAATGACCGCATACTCGTTGATGGAGCATAGGCGAAAAAAAGGCGAACAGAAATGGTGGAAAAATTTGAACACCGATTTTTTTCTGCCCGATGGATGTTCACCATTGAGAATAAATAAATCTGATAAACTTCATAAATATATTGAGAAGTTCCTCTCTATTAGTGTATGCATTCGTTTCAGTAAAACGATGACACTCTCCGGTTGGCCGAATATATGTCCTCCACTAGATGAGATGCATTATCAAATGAAGTGGGTTTTTTTGTTATGAGGCTCGTCGGTAATTTCGCATCCATAATTTTGCTCAACGGACATCATCATCGGAATGGTAATGGTTATGTGATATCTGGAAAAATCCCAGTCCCATGCTTGTTTTTCATTTCGGGCATTGAAATCAACACACGTTCGAATGCAGCAGAGATATTGAGATTGAGAGAGAGATAGGAAGATGTAGGATGGAGCAGGAGCGAAGGGAAGTGAACTGCCACCACTTTCATCTGCTCGTTATCATTTGCGATGTGTTACACAATGATGGCATTTTGAATCGCACGTAAAGATCATTGCTGGCGGCAGATTTGAATATCAGAGCTCTCTTTCGTATTGCCCGATGACCTCATTTTTGTCGTGTGTAGTGGAAAGATAAACTCATATTTATTGCATACACCTTTCATGCTGAATTCAATCGTTGCATTGAATCGAAAACCGAATCATACTTGATGAGTACCGTCATTTTCACGTACACGATTGCATTTTACTATGTTTTGTGCCAAGTTCGACGTATCATTGATATACACCAATAGCGAGTTGGAAGGCGGACAAATATTGCGGAAAGCGGGAGATCCGAAGAAGAAGAAGAAGAAAAAACAGTTGAGGCGCTATCTCCATCGAGTGGATAGAAAACGATAATGGCTATCTTTTGATAAGTTTTATATTCGATGGCATCTTCGTTGAATACATAAGTAGAAACAATTCAAATGGAAAATAACGAACGCTTTTACAGTGTCCGTATAATAATCCGGACGATTCAATGTCCTTTATCTCATTATCTCGTCTTCTGTCTTTTTATTCTTGCCCACATCATCCGGCTCACGCAGCGAAAATTGAGAGAGAAATGCTTTTGGCACTCAACACACACACAGAGAGAGAGAGAGAAAAAGAGAGAGAAAGAGAGAGAGAGAAATGAAACGACAAATTGAAATAAAACCATAATTTTTATGTAGAACAGGTATACGTTCATCGTCCAAATTTATGAGCTGTGAGAATAAAACGAAAATGTGAAGAAGAAGAAAAAAGGAATCACTATGAAAAATGCAAACGTGGATTTGTCTATATACTCTTTCGTTGTGTCCGAAACGCTTTCTTCCGCTCGAAAGCGGCGATGCGAGAGTGAATTTACTTCACATTTTTTTTCGTACTGCCTCAAGAGCTCAAAAGGATAAAAAAAAAGCGTCGAAAAGTGGACGACATCGTGCTGCGATAACAAAGAGGTCATTGGTATATTACACACATTCAGAAACAGCAAGGCTCAATGTGACACACGATGAATCGGGTCGAGATTTTGTGATTTCCTTAATTAACATAATTTCAATCTTAATCTCATCCATTATATCTCCTTTTCCTTCATTTACATAGTGCTTGTAAATGAATTCCTTTACGTGGAGATGCATAGAAATTTAGCGTTGAGCCAAAAAAGAAGTAACTGCCGAGCCGTTAGGAAATGCAAAAAATTTCGTTAAGGTATTTAGAGTGAAAACTGTCACACCCGGATTCATCCGAAGATCAAGCAATTCGACCGACGCCAAAAGAGCGTCTTTATCTTTCTTTCTTGTTTTTTTTTCTTTCTTGGTTCTGGGTCAGTTTTGTGACAAAATTGAATATTTCTTAAGAAGGATAATCAAATAACGTATAAAGGGTTTTTCACAGCCCGTATTTTAAATTGGCCGTATTTTTTTTCCGGTGTAAATGTTGGACACTTTCAAAAAATGAAGAAAATTGCAAGAATCACGAAGAAGCGTGAATGAGAGCAATTTGACAAGGGTATATGGCGGAAGCAACGGCTGCAAATAAACCATAACGGAAACAGCGTTTAAATGGAGAGAGACGACCGACAAAACAACGCACGTACTAATCCGATTTTTTTTATTGCCGACAAGATTTGTTGGCGCTGATGCGGTTTTTATCGTTATTACGCCACATTCGAATAGCCTCTTCTGGTTTTATCACAAACGAATTCAACACACCTGGAGTAATGCATCGAATAAAAAGTCGTGCGAAGAATTGGTCTCAAGACACCAAAGAAGAATCGTGGAAAGACGAATAAGCGTTATTACGGGGTGAGTATGAAACATCTGACTTATTGGCTCCCGTATTTAATCGACGATGTCCAATATGTATGCAACGCAGTTGGTCGATGTACGTTATTCGACATTATAACACAATATTTTTGTTTTGTTTGTTACTACTCAGCCTCATTGGATTCGAATATAAAAATATTCGAACAGAAAACGGGAATAATTTCAATGGAAAAACCAACTGATTGACAGGTGATAGACATGGTAAAAAATGAGAAAAGAACATTCATCGATTTTATGATAATTTGTGTGTGTTTGAACACATCGGAAAATAATTGTACTAATATTCGATCTGGCCTTGTTTTGGAATGCAACGAAGACACAACTGCGACATATTAATTACATGAATCATTCTTTTGTTTTTTTTTGTGTGTCAACAGCAGATGGTATCATGCGTTTTACTTGCTCGGAATCGTAAGGATCGACCATTCGAAAAAGGCATAATCATAAGAAATGTTTCATTGTGGTTTTCAAACATAAAAAAAGCAATGAATATGCCATTTGCTTTCAAGGAACTGCCACAATTCAAATTGAGTTTGAATTGAACGTTCGCGCCAAAACTGAACTCTGTATAACAGCAACGAATTGTCCATTGATTAACGGCTCAAATCAGAATAATTCAAATGCAACACTTACCATTCGTGTTATTTTTTTGTAATGATGACTGCAGTTTTATTTACGATCACAACGAAATTGATTTTGATTCACATCGAACTGGCAACGTGAATCGATTGATTTTCCGGAATTTTTCATTGTTGATAAATTTTCCTTTTGTTGCTTAAAACAAATTTTTCAAATTTAAATCACAACTATTCACAAACTGATTTCGCACTCGTGGGTGGTAAATATAAATTGGTGTGTTGTTGTTGTTGTTGTTGTTGAAACGATTGAATCGTTTTCGTTTGATTTTATGGTCGATTTGCACACATTTTCGAATGGTGTGACATCGCCATCGAATCACGATGGCAACGACGATGTTCTCCGTTGCACAAACTTACTATCAATGATCGTTGATCTCAAACTGTGCACGGCTTATATAGTCGCACTGGGATCGACAATGTTCAACGTATCTTGTACGTGTGTGAGTGCGTTAAAGTATGTTTATTTGAAAATACAAACCCACTGTAAAGCGATCCTGTTTCTTCATATTCATACACCGAAACGCCTATGCACACATTATACCATATGCTGAGAACCACAACGTAGTTACCGTTCCCCCTCTTTTGCTGCAACAGGCAACAGGCAACAGCAACAGCAACAGCAACAGCAACAACATTCAATTGTAAAACCACTGAATTTTACTTTGATGGCATTCCCTTTTGTTACTATTGTTTACATTTACGTTTCACATACTGATATATACCGGTTCGGGCTGGTGAACTATGAACTAAAGCATACGCAATGCCTTATGCACATTTTTACGCACGAACCCTTCGTCTTTTAGAACAACAAAAGAAAAGCGAAACAAAAATTCTTCTCATCTCTGTTTCTCCCTTCGTTTCTTGCCGGTTTTTTTTTTTACTTTTTGCGCATAAAGAATCTTTGAATAATCTACGGTGAATGCATTTGCCTTTACATCGGTTCGCTTGATTTGTAATGCGCAATTTCAAGCAACCGTCCGAGATGCAGTGATTTAAGATGCGTATATTGAGAACTTGTAACGGGCAAAATGCAGCGAGCAAACAAAAGAGAGAGAGAGAGAGAAAACAGAATCCGTATTGTTTGTTAAGATGAACAGGGTGAAATGCGTAGCGTGTAACAGTGCGTATTTAACTTTATCGTCGATTAACTGAAGGGAAGAAATCGGATGTTTCGGCTCTGGGAAAACTGTTGCGTCTCAAACGAATGAGAGATGTGTAGCTGCCGGATAAAAAAATAATTCTGCTGGAAATCGTAAAGAATTGCCGTTCACCTTTGAGCCTCAGGTAAGCGTAAACGACATGCAAAATGCTCTCGCATGGAAATTCAATCAAAACACACCACTTGATTGAGGGTCGCGATATCAATTCTTTTAATATTTGGCTCCCTCTTTTCACGTGCTCACACGGCCAACGGTATAATTTGGCTTCTTGTGTGTGTATGCATTCGTTAATGTTTCGACGTTCTTTGAGAAGTCATTGTTTGGATATATTGGAATTGCGTCATGAGAAATTGTGTGTCGGAACTGAGTATCAGTGGGCATAGAAGTTGCAAATGCCGTTGCAATGAGAAAAAGAAGGGAGACAAATCGGTGAAACATCGAAATGTGAGAAAGTCGCTCGAATCGGACAAAAGATCCAGATACTTTTTTAGTTATACTGATGTTGGGAAAAACATAGACTGCAGCCAATTTCACAACATCTCTCAGATTTAATACCGGAATATTTTCTCATCAAACAACCGGATTGGCAAATGCAGGCCGTTTGATCATCGTCAATTTAATTTCAATTTGATATGAAAACATTTTACACCGAACGGTTTGGTCTTGTTCTTGTACTTACAAATTCCATATTCAATGTTCGACATGGCTAAATGTCATTCATTGATTACCCACTCGATGTTGTCCGATTTCAATACTCCCGTATTGCAAAGACTCAGCCGTTGAATCAGAAATATTCAATCGTAATGATTTTTGTGGGCTTCAGGCATGTCAACAAGATTCCTATTCAATCAACGATAGAAATGTGCTTAAATGAACAATCATTTAAATAAATTAATAAACACTTTAGTTTATCGAGGAAATAAAAAAAAACATCAATCGCATTGCATCGATCAGCAAATCGAATGTCAGCGGTGTGAGCATTTGAAACAGTTTCAGTTCACATCATTGCATTGTTCGGGATGGGAAAATCATCATTAGATTCACTTTGATCGGCGTATACGGGTACCAAGCACGGGTATACATTCATTTAACGGTTACGTTGTTAACAGTGGCACACGTTGCCCCTATACTAATGAAACGCTATAATATCAAAGTGCCATCACAATTTTTGTTTCTCTCGTGTTGTTGCTTCCTCCAATTTCTCGATGCTTATGAACAACTTGGAAGAGAATGGGCGAAAAAGAACTGTATATAACATTCAATACATTAATTAAATTTGATCAGTTGGCATGCCGCTGGCTTGTGCGTTTACATCACATCATTCGATGACATTGGCACAGGCCGACCAGACCCATAAATGTACACAATTTTAATTGTTTTCTAATTAAATGCAATCCATGGTGGATTGACTGACGAACAGAAAGGACGAGTTTTCGTTGCCATTTGCATTTGTAATATTTGCAAAGCAATGAGATTAAATGATTGCCTAAATAAATTAAATTCATGGCACATTTTTAAGCTTGCATTTAATTGATTCAATAAAAACGGACTTCAACTACCTATTTATGTACGCCGATCAAATCCAATTGAGCTCCGCATACTAATCAGTCAGTCACCGACCGAAAAAAAATGTATGATCTAATTTGTCTTTTTTCTCTTTTTCGTTATGTGTGTGTGTGTGTGTGTGTGTCAAATAGAAAATTTAGCTGCACCAAAATTCAAAGTACAAAATTGACACGGTTGACATAAAAAATGTATAAAACTTCCGATTTGTTTTAGTGTGTGTGTGGTGTACGCTGATGGAAACATATAAACAGCTCGTAACAAGCATTACCATAACTTTGAATCTTGTGAAAATTCCACCAACCAAAACGCACGCACGCACGCACACACACACACAAAATGAAACAAAACAAAATTAATGCTAATTATTTGATAAATATTCATATAAATCGTAGCCATGCATTTGCGATGAATTCGAATATTTTTCGGGTTTACATTTCGAGCTAGCAATAATTTGGTGTGTTTATGCTTTTTTGGGAATCGTGTGAAATCCCCGGAAATGTCGACCCGGAATTTTTTTTTTTTACTTGAACATAATTTAAAATTCGAGGCAAACGACCAAAAAATCATGCATAAATAAAGTGGCAGAATGTTTTGATGAGATTTTTTGATGTTGTTACTGTTGGGTTTCGCTCTTCATTTTCGATTAGGATTCATAAATTTCGCCCAAACTATTTGGCGAAAATGGTTTTCGGGCAGTAACGGCGGTAGTGGCAGTGGCGGCAGCAGTGGCATGAAGGTTTTTCGGTGCGATGCTTGTGACATTAGAGGACAACCGAAAGCGATTTATGGGTGTAAGAAGGACTTGTTAAATTTCCATAATGTTCCGATTTTCTTTTGCGAAAAATAAACGATTTTACACGACACGGCATAAATGAGAATATGTGATGTGATACCAACATCGTCACATGTATTCTGTTTGTGTAAGTGTAAGTGTGTGTGTGTGTGTGCATAATTTCCACTCTGCTGAAAAATCACACAAGCGCACCAAACATTTCTGGTGCTTCGAAAATTGTGTATTCTGTAGGTGACAACGACAAAACCAATGCCTGTGAAAAAGGTTACCGGTGCTTTTTCGTGACAAAACGAGAAAAAGGGGTTTGGCTGCTTCAACTTTTATGTGCGAACGTGTGTATGCATGCAGAGTTTTTGGGCATAGGTAACAACTATCTGCACTGAATTTCTCACGGTACAACCTTATAGACGGTTTCGTTTTTTTTTTTCGTTAGCTGGTTATTGTTGTCGTTGTTTGCGAGATTTTCTCTCCATTTTATTGCGTCAACAGGATGTAATTTATTCAACTGAATATATAAATAGGTTCCTCTTATTTCATTTTTTTTCTTTCTCTCTCAACTTTTTTTTCCTTTCTTCCATAGATTTCCCCAAAATAAGTGCCAATCTCAGCATTATATTTGCTAAACGATTACCTCGTCAAAGCAGGAAGAAGCAGACGAAATCCCTTAGAATTGGTGCGCTCATGAACACAATTAGGTTGTGTATGACGTACAGGTATTGTGTGTGTGTTGAAAATTTTCAATGAAAATGCGACATTTGCATAAAAATTAAGTAAAGTAAAGTCGTTTGGCATTCAATAAGGAAACTATTAATAAATAAAAACGCATACACACACAAGGTACCAAGGAAAGTATCGAGGAAAAATACACATTGAACAAAAGACAATGGACATGGCACAGCAACAAGAAGCTGGCCATAAAGATTCAACTCATTATTTTGGTATATTGAAACTGGTTTTTAATCCCAATGAATGACCGATTCATAGCCTTTCATAAAATTAAAATGAAAATGGAAATTGCATGTCAATTCCTCTATCGTTGGAAATGACATCATCTTCAAAAGCAAATGTACACGTTGGAAGTTTCGTTTCACACGTGTTTTTTCCTCTAAAGATTGGTTTTGAAACTGTAATTTAACCCTCTAATGCATACAACCGCCTCTAGATGGGCAACATTTGAACGCCAGTAGAACGTAAATCGTACATCGGATCACATTGCTTCAAAGAAAATTTTTATTCGTTAATGTTTTCTCTTTATTTTTGTCTTTGGCAATATTTGTATGTAGTGTGATTGTAAAGTTATAAACAAAAATGTGTGCAAAAACAAGAATTCGACAGAATAAATTATTCGAACTCCAAATTAGACACACTTTTGACACTTTTAAACAATGGATTTGATTGTTCTCTGATTTATGTCAATCGCATTTCCTGACTGAACCACGAGGGATCCAGGATTATGAATATTTTTTTTTAATTATCTGTGGCCAAAAATCAACCAAGTACCAGTACTCCCAGCCCTGGGAAAAATTAATGCATTAGAGGTAAGTGCTTCAGCTTCTTTTAAAAAGTTTAGTCAGAAACAAAAACGGCGTCATCACAGAGGATGGTTGAAATGAGTTGTCACAGAGAATTAATGGGAAACATCGGTGCCGGTATTCTACGACTTTCCGACAAAATCGTTCGGAATTATTTTTTTCGTACATAAGACCATATTGGAGTGAAAGAGAGAGATTCCACTATTTTTCAGCTTCCCACCGGAATTATTTCGATAACTCAAGGAAGAGTGGATTGCGTGAGAAATAATTCCGGTGGGAAGCTGAAAAATAGTGGAATCTCTCTCTTTCACTCCAAT